CCGAAGCATATTACATTTGCATGAACCATATAGTCTATCCAGTCATGGAATTACCCAGCTTTGTTCTCTGCAGAACGTCACTAAAACAAATTCATTACAATGCCATCCACAAGACAAATTCGCAAGAACAGCAATGTTATGTCCACACTACCTTTCTCATATGCAGTGTTCCCATATAAATTCTTTTTAGTCATGCATCACGAATATGTTCACGCTTCTTCCACAGTAACCAGAACTTTTTTTCCTTACAGCCCAATTGCAGCCTCCATATAACTGCTCATATCAATGTACGCTTGGATGCTTGATCACTCTGAACCTACCTCAAGTCAGCGAAGAATGTGTCATCACTGAAAGCAAGCTCATGGGCCAAAATTCTCGCAAGGTATGGTAGAAGACATTTTATTTATTGAGCATAATTTGTTGAACTATTTATGTCTTGCCCTGCTCATGAGTCCGTTTTTCTTCTTCTCAGAAAACTTGACTAAAGAGAGACCATTGATTTCCAAGTTACTAACATCTTTCCGTAAGAAGCTCTACAGTTGCCATAGTGACAACCCCATGCGCCACCAATATAACAGGTAGACAAATGGAAGCCTTATACCAAAAAGCAGTGATAGCGTACGGTACGTTCAAGCTGTACAAAATTAGGTGCACAAATTGTTGATTCTTCCTTTATGAATCAGTTTACTGGAAATGTACAGGCTTCAAAATTCTTGGACAGTGCATGTCATGGGGTGTACATACTGTACTTCTCGCTACATGTCAAACTTTGCATAGAGTATCACATATAAATAGGTAACAAATGGGCTTGTAGTAGTTCATATTTAGCAGCAGTTCTTATTCACATTGTGTATAGATTGCTGTGAATGTGAGGACTGTTGCAAGGCAGTGGTAGGTACAGCTATAGTAGTGTTGAAACAGTTACTGATACCGTGTGCATGTTGGGAGTTACGCTATCAAAGTACTAAAAAAAACTGCGCAAGAACTCGTGCCTTCATTAAGCAAAACACGTCCTGCAGAGGTAGCAATCGCGGAGCCGAACCATGACAGTAAAATACCTAGAAGAATAAGGAAGATTAAGAATGGGTGGATCACAATTGGCAAGCATTCTCAAATCATGAATGATGATCTGTCACTAACTCTCAAGAGAAACGTATATAACAGGTGCGCCTTGCTCGTACTTACCTACAGCGACTTACAGTGAGGGTTCAGCTTAAATTGAGGACGACACAGCGAGCGATGGAAAAAAATGATAGTTGTAACGTTAAGACACAAGAAGAGAGCAGAGTGGGTCAGGGAACAAATCAGTGTTAAGGATATCGTTGTTTAAATCAAGAAGAAGAAATAAACATAGGCTGGGCATGTAGCACGCAGGCAGAACAACCGCTGGTCATTAAAAGTAGCTGACTGGATTGACAGAGAAGGAAAACGTATGAAGTGAAGACAGAAGGTTAGGTGGGTCAATGATATTAAAAAAGTTGTACGTATATCGTGGCAGCAGAAAGCACAGGACTAAGTTGATTGGCTGATCATGGGAGAGGCCTTTGTCCTGCAGTGGGTGTAATCAGGCTGATGATACGCCAAAAACAACCACCGACATGCACGCAAGCAGTGAGCCTTAATGTTGAAACGTATGCCAATATTTATGCTTCAAAAACATGTTTGTTTACATAACAAAGTTCACGCAATCAAAATAAAAGGTAATCAGTAATTTGCATTCGCTTGCATTTATTCCACTGTGACTCCATGACTATCATTCCTATCTTGTCCCAGGGCTCCAGTTCAGCATCTGAAATCTCATCTGCTCAGAAGTACTGCTGCTAAGTTGTTTTCTTCTTCTAGTTAATTTAGTTTGGTTTGTTTTTACAAAATGTTGTGATCGCTCTGGACAGACTTGTGCGAGCAGCAACGAAAACAAGGGGCTCCCAGTTTGAATTAGCTGTTGTGGATGCCTATGTGTTCAAATTGTCGAAAGATTTCCCCCTATAGAAATACACAGGGCTGTGCGCTTATACTTAACCGAGTTCATATAACGACCTTTTACTATAAGATTATTTGTTCTATGCAAAATACCTGACGCATGACAAGGCATTTTTAAAGGTATGTTAATTTTTAACAGAGCATTGACTGAGTGCACTCAGTAGGTATAATCAAAGCTAGCCAGTGTTTGTACATGTTGATAATTTGAATGTTTACGAACAGCTATTTCCTTGATATTGCTGTGAAATATGTAGCCAAAGGACTAGTTTTGTGTGATACTCAAGGTAAATGTGAGGCAGACAGGAAGTAGTGAAGAACAAAAATGTGATATCAGCTTCTGCTGTTGTTCATCGTTTCAGCAGTGTCTTTGATGACCATGCACCATTGGCACAAGAAAAGAAAAAAAAACTAATTTATTCATCTGTCAAAGCAAAGCATAAAAACTTTGAAGGTCATTAAAAAAGTAAGGACCATTTGGTTCCAAGCAAATATTCATTTGCAGAAGTTTTCATTGGTGGACTTAGTTTAGCAAAAACCTACTTCACTTTTCTATGGAATCACTGGTAACTTCTTAGTGCTTCTCGTACCGCCGCAGTAGTTTCTTTAGTCAATCTGAATGAAAGATCGCCTATTTGTAATTGAACCTGTTGCGAATGGTGTACCTAAATTTCTCACTGTCTTCAAATCGTACCCCGAGCCACTGTTTCAAGTTAAAGAAGAGGAAATAATCACTCGGTGTTGGCCCAAGACAGCAGGGGAGCAATCAGTGTGCTCTACCAAAATATTTGATCTTCTCATTAGTTTTGATTGTGGTGCAAGGATGCCCGTCGTCATGTAGGAGGCCGATTCCGGAGGAAAATTTGTGACGTCATCAATGTTTATCGTACTTATTACTGTGGTTAGTGTTTCACAGTCAGCTGTACGTGTTGCACATATTTTATAAAATTAAACACTAAAAATCCCCTTTTTGACTTGGAAAATGGTAGCTGTCATTTTCTAACTGGAGTAAGCAAACTGCTTGGATTTTTTTGGTTTTTGTGAAAAGAAGTGGTGGCACCACTGTGTGTTATCTTGTCCTTTAGTGTTATAGTTGGTCGGTAAGCATTTTGAGAACCTAGCTTTGCGATATCTAGGCATATCGGCTACAATTGTGCAAATTTTAGTGAGGCCAACAAGAGAACTTTGTCTTACAGACCAGTAAGTGTTAGTCCTCAATCTATCGCAATATCCTGTCCACGTGAACAGTTTGGTTGATCTGGATGCTTGGCGTGGTGCTCCACTCTTTTTCGTACGCATTTGTGCAGCCATTTTGCAAGTCTCAACAATGTGTTTCGATACTTGCGTCACTCCTCACAGTTGGTCCATGAACTGTGCACAACTTCTCGTAAATTGGAAGAGCTAGTGATTCTTTTGCATGCAAAAATGTAAATACAGTGTGCACCCCACAACTGGCGGGAGCAACAATAGTCGCCAACATTGGTGTCTGCATTCCCCATCGAGCAGATGACTATTGAGCCAGAACAATCACTTTAGTACTCTAGCAGAGAAGTGGCTGATTGTGCTGTACAGATAGCTCTTCAGTCTGGTATGCAAACACTTAAATAATAAGAAATGGCCGTTACTTTGTGAGTCAACATCATAGAAAATTTCATTATGCAGATTTGACTGCAATGATTATTCACTGCCTATTTTTCTGACATTGCTACCATGACTTCCAGCACTTCTCAGCTGTCTAGTGTTACTAGTGTTCCAAATGTCCCTGTTGTATTGTCATGTGCAGTGTATTTCGAGTGATATTCACTGGTGCATAATTTCTTTTTTACGAATGAGTGCTTTTAGGAGCACCAACAGGCATCCTCCATTTCGTGTGTCAGGTGATGTACAGTAAGCGAGCAAGGGTACGGGTAGCTAATTTTCTTGTCATCCGTGACAACATCGACAGGAATGTTGACTTGCTGAAAAGTTTCGACTCGGGCTTTCATTATTCACCAACTGTTACTGAATTAAAGTGCCTGTCACTGCAAACTTTTTACCTCTTTTGAAATGTAAACCAAGTTTCTTTTTCAACATGATCCTATAAATGTTGTTTTCCTAGGATGGACTAGCTTACCACAACTGTAAGTTGATCTAGTTAGTCGTAAAAAGATCCGACGCGCAGGTAAAAACACGGATTCTAAACACAATATCGAGAACAATGTTATGTGCAAGGATACCTAGCACAACAGCGTGGGGTCATTTCTTTTTATTCAACGCGATGTGCTTCTCACCAATTCGTTGTCAAATATCATATTGCGGCTCAGACTAATCGTACGGACACTGCACTTTTTCAGAGCATGTGTGGTGAGAAAGCCAATGGGCAGCACAGTACCAAGTACAGTGCAAGAGGTGTCCAGTGAAAGTATCGTTGTCTGACTGAACAAGCCAAGAGAATAAGTTGCACCAATTAAGTGGGTAATTTCATTGAACAGAAGGCTATCACTGTTTTTTGCATGTATTGTTCAACTCTGTGAGAGGCAGTGTTCCTTGTTTACATGTATACTGCTGCATTCACGATTGTCAATAAACAAAGTAAGCTTACTTGCTTGGCGTGTTTTTTGCCAGTTGAGGCCTCTAGGTCACCTGGCAGCATAGCAGAAATATTTATAGTAACTTTAGGGTGCCATGTCAACACCACCTAGATTTTTTAAGGCCCCTCCACGGCTCCATGACGTCACCGCACTACGACGGCTCTGGAGGTTCGGCTTGCGCGTGCGCACAGCTTTCCGACGCAGTTCCGCGTGCGCCTGAAGGCTTTCGAAGCTGAGGAAGGGCCAGTGACGTTTTTTTTTTCAGTCGGCTCCAATAAACGTTTTACTCGGTCGCAGAATCGTGGTTTAATTGCACAGAGTTTAAATGAATGTTTCTTCTGGTTTCCTTGATCGTATAACGAGTAACATTCAGGCATATCATTACTGATTTTGTATCGATGCGCAGGTGTACGAAAACACGTTCGTAATAATTTTTAAGGACCACGCACGCGATTTTGACAAGTCATGTTTTATTTTAGGAAAAAGAAACAGCCAGCAAAAGGTTATCAAACTGCTACAACAATAACTCATATGAAATACGTGAAGGCTGCCACAAATTTCTCAGTACACACAAGAAAAGATGCAGAATATGAAAATACAATACGTGAAGGCTGCCACAAATTTCTCAGTACACACAAGAAAAGATGCAGAATATGAAAATACAATGAAAAATCAGTTTCTAAACTCTCGCATAAAAAAAGAACAACAGTCACAAGCCAACACCCACAAGCAGAGTAGTCACTTCTTCAATGTCTTCAATTTTCGCTCTTTATCTCTTGCGGCCTTTTCAACAACCAACTGATCATTTTTTTCGTTTGCACAGGTTATTCAAAAGCGTGTTTGCTGCTGCACTTAGGACATAATGCATTACCAACTGGGGACTGTGCCCATTTTCACACACATCAAAGTCAACATTGTTGTTTATCGCAAGAGAGCCTCCTTTTGATTCGGTAACGCATGAAATTGCTGTGCATGCTGTTCGCTCCTCAGTTTGTCAAGAACTATTTCCGCAGTAACAACGGCATTTATTATGGCAGGCTGCGGAAACTTGAGACCACCACGTGTCATGGACTTGATCAACTCTCCGCCTTCAACTTCAATGTCGTCATCCAGCATTAAACTTTCTTTGCAAGCCATGCACAAAAGCTTCTTGAATGCAGCATGGGCGCAGTAGCCAGCAACGTATGTGATTGCTGGGAGATTTGGCACCTTCACGTCATAGTCCTCATCCGTTATTTCAATCTCAAAATCATCAAGTACAGCATTATTCACTGCCACCGAGTCTGCTGCAGCCTCCATTTCTGGGAGCTCCAGAACGTTCTGCAGACGAAGCTTTCGCTCAGACTCATACACTTGTCTGATGGAAATGTGGTACTGAGCACCGGAGAGTTGGCGGTATTTGCCGAACCTCTCTTCCAAAGAGTCCGTCTGAAACTTCCCTAAAAGCACATAATGAAAGTTCAGCTCATTCAGGCAATACTCAGCAACCTTTACTAAGGTTTCTGTCGTGAGACGGAGGGCACTGTGAGTCTCTCTTGTGAGCACACTTGCGTCAAATCTTAGGGACTGCCACAGATCTAGCCACTCCACTATATTCAGCAGAAAGTGAACCTGTGGACTTGTCACTGATGCAATCGGTGACTGCAGCTCATCCCGAAGTCGAATGCCCTTGTTGCATGTTTTTACATTAACAATGCTCCACCACTTAGTTATGAGTTCTAAAAACTCTGCTGTGCCGGCCACATGCTCGAGCTGAAGTTTAGGCCAACACGCTCGAAGAGCTGCTGCTGTAGACGGGTTGAAAATCTTTAGCGCGAGCTTAACATTTTGTCGTTCCATATTCGAAGGATTGAGAGATTTTGTCGTAAGCGCCGGTGCAGATTTGATGAGCTGACCCTGTTCTTTCAAGTGTAGTTCTCGAAGTGTACGAAATGACGCTGTAAGTATGGGTGGCTGTACGCTAGATTCTGTGGCGCTAGGAAAGAACATGCATGTTCCAGAGTTTCGCTGATTGAGCCAGTTGTTCCTCACACACTTCATTAAGTGCACAGGATCAATCAGGAAAAAAAGAGGACGGTCAGGGTCAGCAGGGTGTGGATACACACTCTGAAGTTTGCACGGTGCCCCAAAAAGTGACATTGTTTTGCGGTTGATTGAGTTATTGTCAGTTATTACAGCAATGATACGCAACCCAACATTTTCCAACTGAGTAATGATACTACGCAGAAGAGTGTGCAGCTCCTCCGCATTGATGCGCTCTACTGGCAGTATGTGCACAACATTCTTCTGACTTGAAAGTAGGCTTTGCATCATAAAAACATGCGCTGTTTTTGCTGCATTAGGGCTATTGCTAGCCGCACCAACAATCGTTCCTCCCTTATAGTCAAAATAAGGCTGCAGGTGAATTTCATCCATCATGAGAACAACAATTTTTTCGTGCTCTTTCATAGTAGTGACCAGCTTCTTTGCATACGAAAGAAAAGAAGCGCCTTGCTGCTCAGCTTCTGGGCTTACATTGTATGAATTACACACACGACGTATAGTGGATGGATGGGGCAGCCTAACATTACCGGTACTGCGCAAGAATCTATAGGCATGCGGAGAAATTGTAAATAAAATGCTCGAAAGTACCAGGAACTCTGGAGAATACCGAGATTGCTTGCTATGCCTGACGAGAAGAAGAGAAACTTGCTCTTTCAAAAAACGGATGGCATTGAGTCGTTCAACATCTGCCAGTTCACAGTTTGAGGCATCTTCAAGCAGAGAAAATGCAAACTTGAGCAAACCCTCAATTTTGTCTTCATGCTTACAGGAAAGTTCTCCATGTAAGGACTCTACAGAATCTAGCAGGCGTGTCAAACAACGAATGTCGTTCACTTTGTGAGGGATGGCACCAATGCCATCAATCGTAGTAAGCTGCACATCTTGGCAATGAACTTTCACCGTGAGATCCTCTAAGACCGTTATTGACAGCAAAACACGAGGGGCGTCTTCAAGAGCAAGATTCAGAAAATGAATGCACGCAGGTCTAGAAATAACACTCCAAAAGTTCGAAAGCTTCATTTGAGGAAGGCATTCCAGTAGAGCCTGGAAGGTGTCAAAATTGTGCTTTGTTTCCTCCTCCTCATGTGTCTCAAGTGAATCGGCGATGGCTTCTCGTAAAGAGGCTGCTTTAAGGCGCATCCTTTTCTCAGCGGGCGCCTCTCGCGACGTAGTGGCGGGCGCGGAAAGGTACGCTGGACAGTTCGGGAATACACTGGGAACGGCGTCGGAGCTGAGTCGAGCGATCTTCAGTTTTGCCTCGACGACTTTGCCGGTTTTTGAGTCCACATACTTAGAGGAAGTCAGAATGTCTGACTCTCTAAAGTGCCGCTCGCAGACCTGTAAAACCAAACCCAAATAATGTTAGCGTTATTAAGACAGTTAATTTCATGAGCGAAACAGCAAATTCATAACTTAAAACTAGCATAGTTCAATACGTCACCACAAAAACGTCGCGCAATAAATATCACGCGTTTTAGACTTACCACTGAGCGCTTTCCGGGTTCAAAGTCGGCACGCGGAATGGCTTTCAACCACCTCCTCCTTCTGTCGGCATCAGCTGGGAAAGTGAAGACTCGCACAGTCTTTTCTCCGTCGTAATTCCCGCGGCAGCCGGGAACACAACAGTGCCCAGGCATTTTCACAAATCACTCAGTAACTGTCACACAGGCACACATCACTTTCTCGGACGTTGTCCAGTAGTTCCCTTCAAGTAATCACGGCCGTCAACAAAGCTTCAGCAAATGGCAAGGAAAGAACGGAGAAACAGCACGTAATGCATATGAAACGCACGTGCCACGGTGCAAACAAAGCACTCAAATGAAAAGAAAAACACGACGATGGTGATGTTTACAGCAATAGTGATGCCCTTTCTGAAATGCTTCTTTCGAAAGATTACAAAAAAAACTACTCAATTTAACTTTTAAAAATTACACAGTTAAAAAAAATAAAACAAAATACTTCTCACTTTTTTATATTTTTTTATTTTCTAAAAGAGTTAAATTAAGTATTTTTCATTTTGTCTACGAAACCATGGCTCACAGTAATCAGCATGAACGGCGGCTGGCTATGGTGGCTAGAATTGGGAGGTGACGCCAACGGGAGCTCGGAGCCGCTCCTTTGTTTCGAGCAGCGCGGCGGTGGCGCTGTCGGCGGAATGGTGATGCTAGTTACGCGCGCGCGCCTTGAGCGCGCGGACCTTTCAAAGATGCTGTTGCTGAAGCATGATTTAGATAAATTGGCGATTCAGATAACTCACTGTGACGATGGCTGATAGAACGCCATTTCAAGCATTAAAAGAAATTGGCTGCCGCTGCAAGACTTCTGTGACGTTGAATCTGCGCAAATTAAAGCTTTCGTTCGCATATCCCTGCAGTGTTTTGGAGTGCAAGGCGACGGCGTTTTTTTAAAAAAAAATATTACCAAAGTTCTGGGCGAGGAAAATAAAACAAATATTTATTGCACATCATATTATTAGGAAGATCTATTGCACATCATGGAATACAGCGTAAAATAAAATAAAATGAAAAAATACGCACATTTACGTACGCTAGGGAGTAGTTAAAAACATTGAAACATTGCACACAGACAGCGCATCGCTCGGCACTAAGTAATAAGAGGCATACAATCACTTTCCACTCGGCAAAAAAAAATCAATAGAGCTTAAAGTTACAATATCAAACTCAGAGCACGCGTCTAAGCTTCAGCAATTTCATTCTTTCCTGCTTAGCGTTTCGTTTGGTGTTCTGGGCTTTCACATGAAAGTGGAGCCTAGTAAGAACATAAAACTTGATAATTTTGTTTGTGAGGGACATACTGTGGTCAGGGCAGCCAACAAGTGTAAGCTTTCTTAACTGCAAGAAGGAAACCAAGTCCATGATGCTGTCAGGTTTGACTTCTGTAACACTGAAGCAGTGGGTAAAAGTGTTCTCGAGAGTGGTCACGAGTTCATTGAGCTTGACTGATGGGTACAGCAGGCCTCCTCCGTCAACAGCAGCCGTGAGGGATGCTGCAGCTGGAGATGGATCGTTCTCGCCTTGTAGGAGCTGCTGGCTGCACTCTGCACATTTGGTGCTTGCAACGCTTTTTCTTGCCACATATCCAGCCATGTAGAATATGAGTCTGGCATCGCTGCTTTGCACGACCATGTCTGCATGCTCGGTGCCGTGGCCGTATTCATTGAGCACTTCATGTGCTTCGGCAAGGTTTCCTACGTCAAGAAGCTCGTCTAATTTCCTCCGAGGAGTGAGGTCATTTCCGTTGTCAGCTCCCAGCAGACTTCTCAGCAGTCCTGAGGACACATTGCTTCCTTTCGGTGGTTTTGCCAAATTCTGGAAGCTCAAAGTGTTGACCGAGATTAGGAACTGGGAGGCAGTCGGATGATCATTGCATCCAGACATTTGTCGGACGATTCCAAACAGCCTCTCCAGGGGGTCCTGACTCAAGCGGCATGTCATCATATAGCTGAAGTTCACCTTCATCGTCAGGTAGCGGAGAAGGTGTAGCGTGCTTGATAAGGTAACACGAAGCCCCTCGGCTGTACTGCGGCTTAGGAAACCTCCGGAGCCAGCAGCTGTTTCCCAATCGTCCAGGTAAGTCAAGAAGTTTTGAATGCACTTCTCGTGCATCCTTCCAGGCTTAAGTGCACCCGAACTGCACCTTGAAGTCATGGCCTCAATGAGCCTTCTCATTCTTTCCACAAAGCTGACTGTCGCCGCTGTGCTCCCATGCTTTTCTTCGATGGTTGCATTGTACAAGAAAAGGCCTCTGAGGACTTCATCACTGTAAAGCCGCACTGCATAATTTACCCTCATTTTCTCAAAGCCATTGGGATGCACAACCGATTTGCTAATATGAGGCATGGCTTTGAGAGTCGTGTCATGCTGTTCATCAAGCTTCCGGGCACAGTCAATAGGGTCAACACTGGCATGGCCTTCTGGCAGTTTCACGCCCGTTCGAACAAAGGTGTTCCTCACACATTTAAGAAGGTGTGGGAAGTCCGAGATGAAGTGCAGAAAACGTTCTGGGTCTGTAGGGTGCTGCCTTCTACATACTGTGTTTTCTTTCCTGCCGTGTATGCCGAATGAGTGCCACATGCTTCTGTTCCACGCAGCTCCATCAGTGGTGATAAAGTCTACGTGCAGACCGGCGTTTTCGCTCATGACTACTGCTTCGAGGATTATTTTGCCTAACGTCTCGGACTTCACATTGCTGCGTGATGCGAACACACCAATAATCTGGTGCCACGTGCCTGTAAAAGGCACGAACAATACTACAAGGCCATGGTCACATGCTACGGAGCGTTAACTCTCTGGTGTGAACTTCCCAAGGTCCACAAAACCTTCGATGGTGCCATCGGTTCCCAAGCTCAAGTGTTCAGATAGCTTAATCTCATCAATTAACAGCCCACCATGGCGCTGGAACAAGTTTTGTTTTTTCCGCCACAGCAGCAAACACTTTTTCGCTCAGGCCGAATCCACTCCTGTAACGCTTGAGATATCGACGTAGTGATGTTCGAGAAGGCAACGCCATGGTGTTGTTTTTGCGTATATGCTCAAAGCGGCGTGGGCTTTTCATGGACATAATAAGGCACTCTAGAGCCCATTCACTTTCATACTTCATCCCTTTCGTGGATTTTCTTTTAGCCGCAGCAAAGCACGCCTTGACTTGTTGCTGCTGCTTAATGGGTAGGGCCTTCACCGCTTCTTCAAATGCTGTAGAATCATTCCGTGCATTCTTTTCTTTCATTTGTTTGATGAGTGATTTAGCCTGCAGGACACTCAGGCGACTCCATTTCGCTTGCGCTGTTCGCAGCTTAAGCCTGTATGAAAGCTTTTGGGACTGGGCCACATTTTTGCCTTTTCTTCACCTGTAGGACTCACGATTCAGGAGTAGTCTTCTGAGGTGCTTGCATTGTGGGCAGGCTTTTTCTGGCGTTGGAGCAACCCCACGGCAAGATGGGCTGAAGGTTCTGCCATCAAAAGTCTTCTCCTTGTACTTTAAATTCACTCCAAATTCACCAGTTTTACCAAACCCTCTGCATGGTATCATGGAGTCGACGTCGCGAAGCAACTCTTCTGCCATTTCGATGTCGGTAATGTCAAGGGTCTTTATTTTTGTGGCTTGCACAAAAGCTGTCGCTTGAAGTTTGTTTTCATCTGATGTCATTAGCACATACTTGTCAATAGTCAACTTGTCACCATCTAGTGCGCAAACTGTAAACACCGTGGCGTTGTCGGCTCCAGCAATTAGATGTCGAGCCCAGTAAGCGCTGGGAAGACCACACTTGCGGACGTCGGGAATTGCGGGCACATTCGGAACAGGTATTTGGTTACTGTCGCTTTCTGTGCTGTACGAGCCAGCTGTCTCCTCGCAGGCAGACGTGCTTGGTTCCTGACGCCGAATTTTCGATGGTAGGCCGCAAGTGGATGTTCTTGACGTCCTTTTCTTCGGCACTTTCTTTGAAAGATACGCAGGAACATTTGGGAATATGGTTGGCACCGCGTCAGATTTCAGCACCGGTTTCCCTCGGGGAATCTGAACAGTTTCGCCGTTTATCACATGCGTGTAAAAACGCTCAATAAACTGCTCGTCGAAATGAAGCTCACATAGCGCCGACTTCACGTCCAACGACTTGTCGGCACGGGGTACGGCTCGTTGCCAGGCTTCGAAGAGGGCAGGGTCTTTGGGAACAGAGAAAAGAGAAGCACGCTGACCTTGCT